GCTCTAATTGATTCATTTGCTAAGCAAATTATGAAGCGAAGGCATTGGTATGAAGCGGTCGTGATGCTGCATGGATATATGAGTACACATATGCAGCCGTACCTTCGGTAGCGGTTATTGGTAAGATGCCTTCGGGAAACTCGTCCAAAATTGATTACTAACACAGTGAGAACGGAGGCTCTTTTTTCGCAGGATTTTGACCGTTTCACTCCGTTCTTTCGCCATTTCCCCACTATATAGCGCCCTACTAGCATTTTAGGCCGAGCACCCAATCATCGTGCCAACTGCCTTTAAAGTGCTGAAAAATGACAGATGTGCACCACGAGATCTGAACCGTAGCAGAAACGGTGTTGCAACTGGCATCAGGTGTGCCTTCCTCACCAGGGCCTGACTGATTTGATACGAAGTTTGCGCATGGGCTGAGTAAAGTCCCAAGCCGTCCCCACAGACTTTTGGGCCAAGACAGAAACGAAAGGTTTTACGCTGGAGTTCGCACGTAAGCAAAGACAAGCCGTATAAGTATTAATACAGTTTATTTTCTCTTACATTTTATTGTGCGTATACTCGTAGCCCTCGAATTTGCACTCGTGTGATCGAACGAGCAGACTGAATCCGTGTCTGAAAGAGATGATTAGAACTTCGCTACTACAGTGAATCGTTGGATAGAGGTAACAAACTTTTCCAAAAAAGACGCTGTGATGTCGGCTCCAAAGTACGATCCACCACCTCGGAATACGTTTGGCCAGCATCCTGAGTATAGCATAATCATTACGCATTCATGACGGACTATGAACTTCTTTTCTCACCTTTGTTCTGCTTTGGATCGCTCCACAGAACGTCCAGCTCCAGCGCATGTGCTTCCACTCATCTACATTCACCGAATTCTTCTCAGAACCTTTCCGGATAGGAGGACGGAGTACCGACTGGTACTGAAAAGAGAGACAAAAGCTGAAACACGGCCGTTGAAGAACATATAATAGCGCGCTAGGCGAGTCTAGCCGGCTTCAGCGGCGGCAGTCTGTTCGTACGAAGATCCCTTTGTTGCATGAGTAGTGCCTGCTGATCATCATACAAGTTATACAGTAATGACTCAGTATATAGTAGACCCAAAAGTAATCGTTAATGAAACGTTTCAAGCATTTTCTTTTCATAGTGAACCAGGCTACCCCAGTTTGATATATCTGGCATTAGTATAGCACTTTCTGCCCTGCGCAAACAGCCAGCCCGAGTCTACAGCTTACAAACAAAATCTTGCTGTCAAAGTAGTTAAGCGGCGCGCGGGGACGCGGCGTGCACGCTGCTAGCCGCTCTGCGCTTCATTGAATATCACCCATGTCTGTTCATAGCTAAAGAATGGAGGCTTGTGCCACTTCCCATACGTGATGTTCGCACAATCGTTTCTGCACACGGAATGGCAGCGACAGCACACCCGGACTCGCGGACACCGGCACACTGTGGAGGCCACAAGCCAGACATAACAGGGCCAATGCTATGCGCTCTGGCCGCCCCAACCACGGCGTATATATCTGGTCAACACGACCCAATTCCTCCCGCGTCTCGAGCCCCCTGTTTTGGCCAAATACCCCCGCTGGGATTTCCACAGCATTGCGGCGTGCCCCGCTCTCTCTTTTTTGCAACCACAGGTTTCCCTGGTTCAGCGCCAGCTCAATTTTTGTAATGTATCGTTCGGTAAAAGAAGATTGACTTTTCCTTACCTTATTCCTGTGGATTTATGTCGAGCGCATGTGTAAGTTCTGTCTTACTCCGAGCATGCCCCACCATGGCACAACAAAAAAATGGTGTTTCGTCGCATCCAATGGTGCGCGATTCGGTAAAACCACGGAGAAACAAGTCTTGACAAGCGTCCTTCGTGATGCCGTGGTCGCAATGGTACCTTGATAGAACAAATCTTCAATGATAGGAGTTATTGCAGAGAGAAGACAATCATTGTGACTAATTTTCGATGAGTCTAAGAGCACGTGCGAAACGGAAACTAGACTAAACCATTGAGACTACTTCCTTGAAATCAATAAAGAAAGTTTGATTCAAAAGAATAATAAATAAATAAAATAAAATAAATAAAAAAATCAATATTTGAAAATTATTAGGTTGTCCGGAAAGTTCTCAGCCCTTTGCTGCACCCTACGTGTTTTGCTAACATTCACTGCCTCACGCAAAAACTCGTATCTGGCATTCTGCCTTGCTTCTCAGTAGCACATCCTGTAGAGAATTTCTTGCGCTATCTGATGGTATAATTGCCGTTTCACCATTGCTTGATAAACCCCCTTTTTTCAAGATTTTTTCAAGCATGTGAAAAGAGCACTTCGGACGATTTTTTTCTTCGACTATAAATTGGGGCAATCCGCAATCGAAACAGCTCAACAAATTAACCAGGTGTGGGGGCCCAATAGTGCTAGAGAAAGCACTGTGCGGCAATGGCTCAACAAATTTCGTTCTGGAGATTTCAGCCTTGAAGATGAACCTCATAGCGGTCGACCTAAAGCAATATCTGACGAGGATTTTAGGGGGATTTTGGAGGCTGACCCATCCCAAACAGTTCGAGAGATAGCAGAAGAGCTAGGCCTTGGCAAATCCACTGTTGCAGATGGTCTGGAACGCATTGGGAAGGTGAAAAAACTCGACAATTGGGTGCCCCACAATCGGAGTGACCGGCAGGAATCGGCACGTCTCGAGGTTCCTTCTGCATTGCTTTTGCGCAGCAGAAACGACCTGTTTTTGGGCCGAATTGTCACCTGTGATGAAAAATGGGTCATGTATGATAACAGGAGACGTTCCGGACAGTGGTTGGATTTCGACGAACCACCGAGGTAATTTTCAAAGCCGAACCCTCACGAAAAAAGATTCTGGTCACGGCTTGGTGGTCATCGGCTGGTGTGATCCACTATAACTTTTTCACCAGGCCAAACCATCACAGCAGAACCCTACTGTGAAGAAATCGACGAATTGTACCGAAAATTTTGTCAGATGCAGCCAACACTTATCAAAAGAAAGGGTCCGATTCCTTTGCATGACAACGCCCGCCCACACGTTTCACAAATCACTATCCATAAATTGAACGAATTGGGGGTTGAAGTTCTACCTCAACCGCCATATTCTTCAGACCTTTCGCCAACCGACTATCACCTTTTCTAACATTTTCAGAACTCCCTTGCTGGAAAATACTTCATCAAGGGCAAAAAAGCCTTAGTGGCAATAATTTTTTTTTTGCGTAGAATTTCGGCACCACACACATTTTTACTTGTGATTGCGGATTATCTCGACTGCTCTGTCACATTGGCCAAAACGTGTGCCCCTGATTCGGATATGGGCGTGCTTATTTGGATTAAATCGATGAGTGTAGGAAAATTATGATCGTATTTAAAGTTAGCTTAACACACTCAAAAACGCTGAGGAACTTTCCGAAACAACCCAAATATATCACACTTTTCATGTCAATAATGTTGCTGATTAGTAAAACGAAACAAAAAAAATTATTATACCACATTCAAATCACATTTCATACACAAGAGATGGAGCAGAAGAGCGAAAGAAGTTTATTTATTTATTTATTTCTTACACTCAAGGTGTGCACACAAAAATATCTCAAGTTGCATGGGTTCCCCTGGTTTATCTTGTCATTTGCGTGCTTGCAGCCTTTTACTTGACAATTTGTCCACTTTCCATTACTCATTCTTATTTTCCTACCTTGTATTTAGTCATGAGCTCCTTGGTGAACCCGTAACGAAGATTCATGATATGATCCTCATGATTGCCTCTGTTCAACGTAATTGCATTCGGATCCAATACGAACAGGGCTAGCAGTACGCACAACACCTTCAAGTAGAGTTCTTTGTATCAAAGCTGCGCTAAAAATTAGAAATCACGAAGGAATCGTGAAATTCATTCAAATTTTAAATTCAGGTGATGTTATTCCCAGTTTTGCCCTGAGAGTCCTTTGGATACCCTGCGAAGTTATCAGTGGCGAAATCGTTTCTTCACGAAATACGCCCCGAATCATCTGCGAAAGAAGTGGGACTCAGTCTCGACGAGAGGGCAAAGGAGAGT